CATTGTTATTCTTATTTTAAATTTAAATCATCTTGTTCCATAGGCAAAGTGTCTCACCTAGCATCTCAATTCAAACAAAAATGCACTATTTTTTAGGAAAATAGATTTCACCTTTTTGGGCTTTACTCATAAAGGGTCAAATAAAAAGGCAATGGTAAAGATATTTTTCCATAAAACATATTTTTCCACAAAACATTATAAAAATAAAATGTTTATAATGTTCTGGTTTGAGACCATAAGGTTTTGAAAATCACTCGACAATTTCAAAATCTTGTCTTGTAAACCATCCTTTAGTCGGATCAGCCATCTTATTCTGATTACAAACAGTAAAATCCGGCTATTCGTTTAAAAGACAGGACATGTGTTTTGAATTGGACTCATATAAATAAACTGAATTGAATTGAGTTTTGTTTTTAAGCAGAAGATATTTAAAATATTTGAATCACTTGCAAGTTTGTCCCTGGTCTTTTTCCTAGTGCGACCAAGACCCCGGGGTGGTGTTGCTGGAGGTTTACGAGACCCTGTGAGGATGTCGGTGATCAAGGGGGAGGATATCACTTTACCATGTGACGTTCACAGTGTTCCACCACCTTCTATCAGCTGGGCAAAAGAAAAACAGCTCATTTCCCCATTTTCCCCAAGGTAACATTCCACAAATATTTAACACACACGGGGAACTGAAGTCCTTTGTTTTTGTTTTATTTCACTCGTTGGAAACAACAGAATCCACATGAATAAGTAATTTGTCAGTTTGTTGATGCTTACACTCAAACAGTTAAAGCTCTTCCAAGGGAAGCCTGAATCCTTTCACACACAAAGGTCTTGCTTATTTCAGAGTGACAGCGCCAAACCTGATTCTGTAAGTATTAAGACAGCATGTCTGTGTAGAGAAAGAATCCAGAGGCGAAAAAGTCTGCAGTCCAGACCCGTCACACTGAAACTCTATGCAGCTTTGTGAAACAAAAATAGGACAAAGAAAGACTTGATGTTTGAAAACCCCCATGTAAGACAAAAAACAGCAAAAACATCTGCAACTACTGTTCTCCCGGCTCTCAAAGTTGTTTTAAAAAGCAGATGATGCAAACCAAACATTTCTGCATCATTAAATATTTCCACAATTACATGGAAGGAAATTAAAGGTAATAAATTCTGTTTGCTTGTCCTGTATTCATTCTGTATAAATAAGTAGTTTTAATTAAATCCATTTTATTTAAATTTAAGTGCTTTTTCTCTGTCTGTCTGACTTGACTTGAGGCTAAAGTTTGAGTCTAAGTTGGCAAAGCAATCCTACATTTAATCTGTGATCTGCCAAAATAGCTGAAATTACAGTAAAACGTATATTTATTATAGGTGTTTTTGTTTGGTACGGAAGCCGAGAGTGGTCGAAGTCAACTTTTTTTTTCTTTGCCTTTTCGAGATAATATTACGGTTAAACAATTAATTGTTTTACGAGAGAACAGTTTTTAATTTCTCGAGATAACAACATGATTAACCTGTATGAGTAATGAATGAGGCTGGCCAATAATCATGGCAAATAATCATTTTTTTAGTTTCCTATTTCTTTCACTCATTGTCAGGTCGTGGTGGATGATTGGATTGCATTGAATACAGTAAAAACAAATCTGAATGATTTTTAATAAAGATCTTCAATCTGGACACATTTTGGGGGTTAATAACATCTTATACCTGTTACAGGCGTAACGCGGCGCTGTTCAGAAAACAAGGGCGCAGGAGGCATAGGTCTAATTGCTTATGAAACAGAAGTTGAAGCAAATCATTAAACACAGGATTATTTACAGAATGACACATAGGCTGCCATGACTGATAAATCCTCTTCCACTGTTTGTCATGATTTTATCCAAAGATCTGACCCACATGCAGAAAACCAAACAGAGAGATCAGGGGAAGGTTTAACAGGTTTATTGAGAACTGGTAGAGATGGTTCCAGTGCTGCTCTGAACACTGGCGAACCGGGCCTGAAAAGTGAAGGGGGAAGTTCCTGTGGTTAGTTCAGGCTCAGTGGGAAATTTAAGCTTCGATTTGCAAAAGGGAATATAGGCAACAGGTTTCCAGAAAAGGTGTCTTTCTCTGAATCCAGTAAGTGTGGGTTGTTCCAGTAATATACTTGCTACTTGGAGGGCGGACAGGGTTTACCCAGGTTGAGGTGTTTCCTTGAGGAACAGAGGAGCTGACTGCCACTTAGATTTCCTGCGGTACTTGAACGGTTTCTTGTGGATATGAATCCCCAGCTCAGAGAGAAGCCCAAACAATCCGTGGGGAAAAGTAGATCCAAACTACCAGTTTGAATCCCCAGCTCAGTTTGACGCTCAGAGAATCCTTCCAGGGGGAGAAGGTCCAAAACATCCAGTTTGCAGGATGACTTCCTGCCAAGAGGCAAAGACAAAAACAACAAGGTTAACACTCAGGTTGACGAAAACTCAGTTTGACTCAGCAAAACTCAGCTTGGCTAGAGTACCCAAAACTGGCAAACACTCTGGCATCGAGGTAGTGGCCGTCAGCAGCTTAAGAGTCCTCCGGTAATGAGGCAACCATCCGCAGGTGTGTGAGGCCAACAAGAACCAGGTGCCACCTGGTGGTGGAGGGAAAACAAACAAAAACACAACCCACACAAACTGGATTCCTAACACTGTTGTTGTATTGAAGGATGTAATCAGTTTTAACACACACCACTCATTTCATTATAATGAGAAAACAGCTTTTTTTATATTTAGATAATGAGAAAAATTTGCTTATTTTTTTTAGAAAACCACCGTGAAAAAGTATCTGAGGGACATGACCGCTCTCATCTTCCGTAGTTTGGAGTCCAAATAGCCTAAATCATTGTGTGGAAACAATTGGTGCTCTACTGAGTTTGCTTTTCACATTATTTGGGAGTTTGCAGTCCTAGTTGTTAGGGCATAATTCAGTTTTTCAATTTTATGTACTGGTGTTGTTTCCTTTTCCCAGGCATCTGCAGCTTCCATCTGGATCGATGAAGATCCTGGAGACCAGAGCTTCAGACAGTGGACTCTATGTTTGTGTTGCCTCAAACCTCGCTGGTAACGTGACGTTGTCCATAGAGCTGAGTGTTTTAGGTATG